TATATATGTTGATGATAATGAGCCTCGCCATAAGGGAATTATAAAATAAAACTCAATTTGAAATACCATAGCTACCTATCCAAAGATGTAAAACACTGAGTTGGCCACTGCCTCCACCAGGACCAACAAGTCTGCAAGAACGGATGCCCCATGCCAATGGTGGGGATGTGAGAAAACGCAAGGGTGCACAGGGACCTGCCCCACTGCCTGCATTGAGACCAGGCCAGGCATGGCCAATGGAGGCCAGGGACAGTTAGTCAACATCTGCTGACTGAGCAACAGACGGCGTGGGGACACTGTCAGCCGCCCACCACCCGGTGCGGCCGCTCACCTTGCATGCCTCGTAGTCCTTCCGGATGTAGTGCAGATGGATCAGCCAGTTCAGCTTCTCCAAGATGGGACACTCTGGAGCTGGGGAGCACATGTGACACAACACCACGGTCAGTTAGACTTGCTCCTCCTGCACTGCTCTCATGTCTAAATTAAACACAAGCCTATGGCAGCCTCATGGTCACTTCTTCCTGGTGTGAGCCGTAAGGTTAAGTGCGGCAGAAACACACAGAAATGTGTGTCTATTGCATGCCGGTGCCTGTCTCTGGAGTTTTTGCGGCTGATGATGTCAGTTTCTAAGCTGACAACTTGGCCTGAAAAACATAAAGCATCATACTTTGTCTTTTTTCCTCCCTCTCTCCCGGCTGATCAATTTCAGGAGCTCTAACTAAATCCATTTTAGTATTGTTCATGGCACACATGATCAGAATGCCAAAAATATTGTAATTAGTTACACATCATCTTTAGGAATAGCCGGGCGTGGTGGCACATGCCTGTAATCCCGGCACTTGGGAGGCTGAGGCAGGAGGATCCTTGCAAGTTCGAGACCAGCCTGGGCTACAAAGTGAGCTTAAGGCCAGCCTGAACTGCATAGTGAGACCCTGTCTCAAAAAAAAAAAAAAAAAAAAAAAAAAGGAATGGCTCTAACGGGAACACTGGGGACTTGCCCGAGAATGAGAAGCAATAATGGAAAACATCAGAGTTGCTGAACATGGAACGCACAATCAGTCCCTTGCCCATGAAAGGCAAAAATGTAAGCTACACATAAAAATTCACCAATAAGTTCCTTTTCTGTGGTACCAGGGAGGAGAAGGAACCATGACCACCTCAGAAGAGGAAAGATGTTGAGGGAAGCAGAGCGAGGAATAGGACTGGAAAAGATAAAAGGAGACTTCAGCTCATGCTTATTTCTCAAAAAACTACAAAGCCTTCAAGTAAACTTAACTACATGCTTTGGTTTGTTAACTGGCTGGCGCCTCTACAGCACATTATTTTATTACGCTTGAGATATACCTAATTTTTAAAAACGTAAAGGAAAAGGGCGAGCAGGGGAAGAGAAGGCAGTGATCTGTAACCAATTTCTGAATGTCCCAGAACCTTAGAAGAAACAACCCACAGAAAGCCTAAAATTTACATGCCCATCATCTGACAGGGAATAAAAAGCAGCTTCCTGCCAAGGATGTAGCTCAGAGGCCCAGCGCTTTCCTGGCAAGCACAAGGTCCTGAGTTCGAGTCTGGACACCAAAAAAAAAAAAAGCTGCCTGGGACCCAGGGGCAATGCTGCTCCAACACAAAAATTAAGAGCAGTGGTGTCCACTCTTCCCCAGAATAGGGAGCATTGGTGGATTTGTAAAATGAAATGATGACATAAAGTATTGATCTATTCTGTATGCTGGAAGAAAAATGAGACATTTTTAAGCAACTGACCCTCCAGTCACCCGCATTCTCTTGGTAGAATGCCCTTCTAGTCTTTTTTGTACTGGGACTCGAGCTCACAACTTCATGCTTGCTACGCAGGCTACATCCCCAGCCCTGCCCTTCTAGTCTTGTTTCCTTCCTTCCATGACTTAGCCATTCCTATTCTGCCTAACCACTTCCAGAATTAAATTTCTCCTACTGAAAGCCACACAGATCACTAAAATTAAAGATGCGTGTATAGCCAGGTGTGGGGGTGCATGCCTGTAATCCTAGTACTCTGGGAGGCTGAGGCAGAGGGATCACAAATCCAAGCCCAGCCTGGGCAATTTAGCAACTCAATGAGACTTCGTCTCAAAATAGAAAGAAAAATTAAAAAATGGCTGTAAATATAGCTCAGTGCAAAGGCCCTGGGTTCACTTCCCAGTACTGAAAAATAAATAAATAAATAAATAAACAGGCACGTTTCTGTGTGTAAAGTGACAAAGAAGTGCACTGCAATGAAGAATTCTGGGGCACACGGCTTCCTGACTAGTGGTCTTGCTATAGAGCTCAGGTTGGCCTTGAACTCACCATGTAGCCCAGGCTGGGCTCAAACCCTTGGAGATCCTCTTCCCTCAGCCTCCCAGGGCTGCAATTATAGGTGTGCAACCCCACAACCTGCCAAAATGTGAACTTTCAGGTCTTGCCTTTTATGAAAACCTCACAAAAGATGCATCCTATCCCAGGGTGAAGACAGAAAAAAAATATTCCATTTGTTAGGAGGCCCAAGGGCCCAGAGGCCCAGAATTTAGCGTCCTTGTTTCATTCCCTCATAATTGTCCTAATACTAATGTGGGACCTTGGGAAATTTAGTTTCCTAACCTATGAAGTTAAGGCTCATTCATTCAACCAGCAGTCCCTGCGTGCCGTCACAGGCACTGTCCTGGGCACGGGGGACTCAGAAGTGAGCCAAAGTGCTCCAGGCTCCTGGGAGCTTACAGGGTGGGGCACTAACCAGTGCTACTAAGGGGCGCTTTGCAGCGGTGTTTTTCTATGAGAAAGACAAAGCTAGGCATGAGGGCACAGAGGGCAGGACCTAAGGTTAACCTTAAACAAGAAGGTGAGAAAGAAGCTGGAAACAGTACCTGCTACCCAGGAAGCCCAAAGGAAACCACAGCTACCGTTACTGCTGGTATGTCTATTAGCATTAGTATTTAGGTGTTCTCAAAGGTGAGGTGTTGCAGACCCGGCTGTACAGCGTTAAGCTGCTGAACACAGAGACCTCTGGCTGTGCTGGAAAAGAGCATATTCACAATGCGCCGAAGTCAAGATGACCACAGCTGAGGCAGCCAAGGAGTGAGCTGCTGACACTCCCGTTCCAGAGCAATAAAGCTGCCAAGCTGAGAGATAAGACATTCTCTTAACTGGCAACATGTACTCTTGGAGAAGTCCCTGAACTGACTCCCAAGGTCCTGTTCAGTTCCCTGCTTGCCTCAGCATCCCCTTCCTTCGATTGAAACTAAATAAATACAAACTGCCCGGAGAAGTTCTTGGTCTCTACCCCCAGGGAATCTCAAGTTCCCTTAGAGGGTTTTGATCCTTCTGCAGCCCTACAATTTGTCCCTTTTATTTTTTTTTTTTTTTTTTTTTTTTTTTTTTG